GAAACAATGATCTTTAAAGCCCAGAAACTGAAGGAGATCCTGTGAGCAGTGACCACAGATAGAGATTGAAACATAGCTGTTGGGGAGCCCAGGAGGAACTAGCAGAGGAGGCTGAGGAGGAGCCAGTGTGGTAGGAGGAAACCAGCACAGTGTAGTGTCTTAAAAGTCAGGGAAAGACTGTTTCTAGAAGGGAACGCTGCGATCAGCTGTATGAAAGGCTGCTGATCACTAAGTAAAAAGACACTGATAATTGACCTTTGGATTTGGAAACAAAGAGGTTGCAGGTAACCTTAACAGGAGTTTCAGTAGGGTAGTTTGGGCAGAAGCCTCATGGGAATGGGCTCAAGGGAGACTGGGAGTACATCCATACATCAGAATATAGCACAGTTGGGGAAAGGAAAAGACAGGATGCTCTCTATTCATTGACAAGGGAAGCTCTCAAAGATCCATTGTTAAGTAAAACAGGAAAGACAAAGAAAGCAAGGGTATATGATTTGCAAATTTTATGTAAAATACGTAGGGGAATAAGAATTTATATTGCTATTTGCTTGTTATACATAAGGAAGTTCCAGTAGAATACGGAAATGAGTCACATTGGGGGCAAGGATGGGGATTGGAATGATGAGGGACAGGAGTGAGAATGAGAACTTTCACTTGAGATCTTTCTAATATATTTTAAGCATTGTTTTGAGCATATGAATATATTACCAATTCAAAATGGTGAATCACAAAAATTAAAGAGTTAGATTTAAGTTGATGAAAGAGAAGGAATGGGAGGAGAAGCGGAGGAGACAGTGAATAGAGACCATCTTCTGAGAAAGCTTTGCTATAAGGGGAGCAGAGAAGGAAGGGCAGAGGCTGGGGGCAAACACACAGCTGGGAAAGACCTATTTTAGGCCAGGAGAAATGACAGCACGCTTGCACGTTGCTGGAAATGATCAAGCAGACAGGAAGATAGTGCTGCTGCAGGACAGGGAGGGACAGATGCTGGAATGATGACTTTTGGGTTGGTGACAAGGTCTGAGATCCCTCACAGGAGCAGCAATGTGGCTGGGATATGGGGATGGAAGTGAGGAAGTTTTCTTCTACATGCTTCTATTTTCCCAGAATCCCAGCATTATGGGAGACCAAGGCAGGAGGATCACTTGAGGCCAGGAGTTCAAGGCTGCAGTGAACTATGATTCTGCCACTGCATCCTGTCTTAAGAAAAAAAGAACAGCAAGCAAGATCTGAGAGAACATACAGTTCAGAAAGATAATGGGCAGAAAACAGACTGAAATTTACCCTGACAAATTCTGGGAACCCTAAATGAGCCCAGAGATGGTGATAGACATACCAGCACAGCCAGAAACAAACAAGGTGAGAATTTATAGAGTCTGGAGTGTGGGAAGGTCCTCAAATTCACCTCAAGACACATTTATCACTTTGTATTTTATTGTCCCCCTCGCTAGACGGTAAGCTCCATGAAGACAGTGGTGACTTTCTCTTCCCTGTATACCCAGCCATGGCACAGCAGGCAACACTAAGTAGATTTACCAAAAATATTTGCTGAAAGAATGAATGAATCAAGAATAATAGAAATAACTGATATTGACTCAAAGTCCTCCATGTAAAAGGCACTTACACTAATAGTTAATATTCACTTGATAAATTCGATCCACACCAGCCCCACAATGAGCTCAGCATATCCTCAGGATGCACTGGGGCTCTGAGGGCCCAGGATATGGCACGAATGGCCCGTCTTGCCTCCCATGGCCTGGTTCACATCCAATGTGCACTGTCTTTCCCCTGCCACTGGGAGACACCAGGAGGACGGCTCACACACTGCTGTTCTGACCTCAAATGAAGGGCTGTCAGGGACAGGCAAGCAGGAGGGCAGCAGCTGCAGATGCTGGTCAGAGCAGCAGCCTTCCTTCCGGGGAGGCGGGAGCACCAGGCTAATGACAGTAATAATGCAGTGATGAAAGGGGAGAGTCTGGAGGGGTGTGGATGTCAGCAGAGAACCTGAAGCACTGAGCACAGGACAGAGATCAGGGAGGGCAAGCAGATAGACAGGAAAGGCAGGAGGACAACAGAGGAGAGTAGAAAGAGCTCAGAGTGGGCAGGGGTCCCAGGAGTTCACTGAGCAGTAAATATTGAGCATCTACTATGTGCCAAGACACTGCAGTAGGAGTTGGGATGCAGGGTAAAAAAGACAAATGCGATATTTGGTCTCTAATGGCTGTGGGGGCAGGAGGAGGACAGACAATAAACAGTAAACAAATATAATTCATTTCAGAAATTTATGAGTTAGATAATGAAACATAGCGATGAAATAGAGTGGGGGGCACTTTAGATTTTGAGCAGAGAAGGAACCAACCAGGTGAAGCTGGGAAGAGGAGTAGCAAAGCATTCCAGGAAGAGGGAATTAAAAGTGTAGGGATACTAAGAGAAGGATTTCTGATGTTCTAGCGCAGCAAGAAATCTGATCTGGCAGGAACATTATGTATGAAAGGGAGTATAAGTTGGTGGCTCCTTCTTACAAGGAGTTCAGATTTACTCCAAGTATAATGAAAAACTATTTGAACATTTTAAGCAGGGAAGAGCACAATATGATTTCAGTTTTAAAAATTTTACTGATATTGTGAAGACTAGTTTGTGAAGGGAAAGGGCAAAGTAAGGGATCAGTTGGGAAGCTATAGTGATATTCTGGATGAGAGGATGGCTTGGACCAGGACTAAGCAATAAAGGTGGAGAGAAGTAGATGGAGTCAGGATATATTTTGGATGCAGAGCCCATAGGACCTGTTTCTGAATTAGATACAGGGAGGGAATCAGTATGGGGTGGGGGGAAAGAAAGGGAGGATGTTTCCTAGGTTTTTAGCCTGAAGAATTAGGAGTTGTCATGTCCCAGAATGGGGAACATTGGGAGAGAAATGATTGGGGGATGGGGGATTCAGACATCTATTTTAGTCGCATTAGCTTTGCATGGCTATTAGACACCCAAGTGGAGATGTCAAGTAGGCTGCTGGATAAATGAGTCTGGTGCTCTGGATATAAATTTAGGACTCACTGACATTTACATAGTATTTAAGTCCTGGGACTGGATGAGATCACTGGACAGAGAATGTGGAAAGAGGGGAGAACCAAGGACTAAGTCCTAGGAGGCTCCAATATTTAGAGGTCAGCCGAGGAAGACTAAGAAAGAATAGCTAGTGAGGTTGAAGGGCAACTAAGAGAGTGTAATGTGCTAGAAGAGCAATGAAGAAAGACAGAGTAATGTGATAGAGAGGGATGGGGGTGGGAGGTGGTGGGAATAGGGGCAGGGGTGGCTACTGTTGATAAAGAGATCAAGGAAGGCCTCCCAGAAGACATTGGGTCTAAGCAAGATTAGAATGAAAAGAGTGAGTCATTGTGAAAAGTCAGGGAAAAGCCTTCCAGACTGAGGGAAGAGCAAGTGCAAAGGCCCTAAGGCAGGTTAAGCTGTCTCCTAGGAACAGAGATCTGGTCCACTGTGGCTGAGGCATAGAAATCTCTAGGGGAGGAAATCAGAGAGCTACCTAGGGACCAGGTCACAGAAGGCCTTCTAAGTCACAGTAAGGTGTTTGGATATTCCAAATGCTGGAAAAGCCCAGTAATTGGGACCTGAGCCACTTATTTTAAAGGTCGTTTGAGTTGCTTCAGGGAGAATGCATTACAGCAGGCCAGAGTGGAATCAGGGACCAAGCCCTTGGGATAACCCAATGATGGTGCGTGGTCTTTTCCTACATCCTTCCCTTTACCTCCTGGCCCCTCTCCTGCAGCCTTGACCTCGAGCACTTTCCACGGGTGTTTGTGTGCGTGTGTAGGGATGGGAGGGGGGTAAGAACAGGACAGAGTTGGAGACTCAGAGCACTGGATGACTCAGAATTTCAGAAACTGACTGGGGCGGCCACGGGTATCCCCGGAGCTGGGGTGAAGGGGGTGGGGAAGCTCGCCGCCAGAACCCGGGAATCCGGGCGGTCGCTCTCCCCTCGCTACCCTCTCCAGCCCTGCACCTGGGACAGAGCTGGGCGCGACTCCTGCAGCGTGGTAGCAAGAGGGTTAAACCGTGCGTGGCCTACAGGCGGGAGGGGGGAGGCGGAGACCGAGCGGTCCCAGCCGCCGCGCCGAGCCCAGCCGAGCCGAGCCGAGGCGAGAGCATCTCCCGCCGCCGCCGCCGCCGCCGCCCCGCGCCCCGGGCGCCCGCCCCCCACCGGCTCCAGCGCCCTGCTGCCGGCCAAACCTGCCGACCATGCCCCGCACCCTGCCCGCTTCCGCGACCCCCAAGTCCCGCGCAGCCTTGAGCGCCCGCAGTCTTCGCGCCGCGGCGCCAGGCATGCAGGTGAGAGAGGGACCCCCCCACGCCCCCACCCAAAGGGAGCCTGGCCCTGCCCTTCCCGACTCCGCGCCCTTCGCCTGCCGCCCCTCCCGGAGCGGCCCCTCGCAGGGCTGCAGCCCCCAAGCACTCCTTCCCCGGCGAGCTCTCCATCCGTCCGCGTCCCGACTCCAGCCTGCCTCCCGGTGCAGCGGTCTCCGTCTCCGCGGCTGCCTCCATCCCGCCTCGGCTCAGCGGGCGGTGCGAGCATCCTCCTGCCTCGGGTCCCCTTTCCGCTCTCGGCGCTCCCTCCCTCGGAGTCCCTTTGCCGACCTCCTTTCCCTGGCTTCCCCCCGCTACGGCCAGGGAGCGCGGGCCTGTGGGATGGGTGGGATTGGGGCGACCCTGACGGTAGGGCCCGGTTCCCCCACGCCAAGGCTCCCGCCCCACCCCCAGCTCGTCTCCTGCGCACAACAGGTCGGTGAGGAGCAGGGAGAGGGTGGGGGTGGCGCACCAGCCTGGGGACTGCGGGCTTCCTGGAGGGGGTGGTAAAGGGTGCGCGGTCCAGGGGCTGGAGTTGACGCTGGTCGTAGGTGAGGGGATACGCTGGGCTGAGTGGCAAGTGAGTCCTGGAGTCAGCTGGTCACAGACGTCCCTGGGAGCCCTTCTCCGGTTCACTGGTTCGCTCTAACTCTCCTCCCTCCCTCCCTCCCCTCTTCCCACCAGGCCCCCATCCCCATCTCTTTCTATAGCTCCACAGCCCTTTACATTTCGAGAAAGAATTTCCAACTCCTCCATCTTTGCCTTCCCCGCTCTCTGGCCCCCAGCCCCTGTCTCTTCTCATTTTGTATTCGGTATTATGTTCTCTCCTTTCTCATCTCCTTTCTCCCCATCCCTGCTCGTCATCCCCTTTTCTTCCTTCCCCTTCCACTCTACACTTCTTTGGCGGTCCTGCCTGGACCTCTCTTTTCTTCTCCTGCTTCTGCTCTTCTCCCCCTGCACCTGTGACCCCTTCAGCCTCTCAGTTCTCCTCCCCGACCTCTTCTCTTATCTTTTCCCTCGACCTCTTCTTTTATCTTTTCCCTCTTCAGCGGCCTTCTGTGCCCCCCTCTCCTCTCTTCCTGGGCCATTCTTTTCCTGAGCTGCCTGCTCTCCCCACCCTGCGCTCCAGGCAACTGCCTATTCACCATCCTCCTCCTCCTTCTGAACCAACCTGCCCTCTCCCAGCCCTTCAGGCCCTTCCCATTTCTCCCTGCTGCCCACTTCCCCAATCCCTTCCCCTGACTTCCTCAGCTTATGCCCCTGGGATGCTTTGGCAGTATTCAATGTACGGGGTTAGACCCTGATTCCAGAGGACACAGTGTGTTATCTCCTCATGCCCTCTGGGAAGCCTGGCCCCCCTGGCTCCACCACCCTCAGCTCTGAGAACATACCCTTCCTCTTTCAAAACCAGCCATCCAGATTCTCCCAGCATTCTTTACCCAGGAGAGCTACATTTGAGGGGGTGGCTTCTTCTCAACTCCACCTCCCTTCAGAGGGCACCTATGCATGTGGATGATTAAACATTAAGAGCAGAAATTATATTCTGTAGTTTTTCTCCCACCCACCTCTCTCTGTCTCTATCTTTCTGTCCTTTCATCTCTTCCTCCTTTTCTCCTGAAGATGCAGGCTCCTGAGGCCAATCCGGAGAGAAAGGCCTGGCGCTGCAAGTGGGGTCCCCTGCGCACAGACACACACACTCAGATTGACTTCCCTTTCCCTCCCCCTACCTTCATATCCCTCCCTAGCAGTAGGTGCTCAAGGAATCACAAGGTTCTTGGCTCTAAATTAAGATCCATGAAAAGCCTGGAGCTGTGGTAGAGGAAGTGAGAAGGAAGGAAGCCAGAGAAGCCAGAGTTGCCCCTATGGTGGGGAGGTAACCAGTAACCGGACTGTGAAGTTGTAGATGAGGCTGGGGGCTGGTCAGGAAACCACTTGGGGAGTTTTTCCTGAGAAAGATGCTAAGAAGCAGTGGATCCTGGGTGGTGCATGCATGGCTGGCAGCTGGGCAGGCTAGGAGGGGAGATGGGGTAGAGTTGGTGGATGAGTGAGCCAGGGAAGTACACAGGGCAGGGTTGGGATGTGACAACACCCATTTCCCCCCCAGTAAAGGCTGAAAATCTGGGTCACAGCTAAGGAAGACTTCTGACGAGGAGTCAAGGATGTGGTAAGTTTGGCCCAGCAGAGGGAGCTTGGAGACCACTTTCCTGGGGGGGTCATGGCCATTCCTTCCTAGGCCCATCTAGGGCCTGCCTTCCTGAGGGCTTTCACTGAGAATCCTGGAGGGAGGCAGCCAGGATTTGTGAGCCCACCCTCCCCCCATGGGCCTGTGTCTCACCCACTTTCTTTCCCTTCTTGCAGGCCTGCTCTGCTGCTGTCCCACCTCCTCCCTCTCTGGCCACTCCTGTTGCTGCCCCTCCCACCGCTGGCTCAGGGCTCCTCCTCCTCCCCTCGAACCCCACCAGCCCCAGCCCGCCCCCCCTGTGCCCGGGGAGGCCCCTCAGCCCCACGTCACGTGTGCGTGTGGGAGCGGGCACCTCCACCAAGCCGATCCCCTCGGGTCCCCAGATCTCGTCGGCAAGTCCTGCCAGGCACTGCACCCCCTGCCACCCCATCAGGCTTTGAGGAGGGCCCACCCTCCTCGCAGTACCCCTGGGCTATTGTGTGGGGCCCCACGGTGTCTCGAGAGGATGGGGGGGACCCTAACTCTGCCAATCCTGGATTTCTGGACTATGGCTTCGCAGCCCCCCATGGACTCGCTACCCCACACCCCAACTCAGACTCTATTCGGGGTGATGGAGATGGCCTCATCCTCGGAGAAGCACCTGCCACCCTGCGGCCATTCCTGTTCGGGGGCCGAGGGGAAGGTGAGTGGGAGGAGCTGGTAGGGATATGAGGATGGGGAGGCTGGGTGAAGACTCCAGGGGCAGAACTAGAGGCCTCGTCTGTTAGCTCCTTCAACAAATGTGCCGGGCACTGTGCTGGCACAGGACACAGAGATGGAGACACTGTCTGAGCCCTTGAGGAGTTCAGGTCTGCTGGAGAAGACAGATGTGTAAACGCTTGGGGATGAGTCAGTGGAATAAATGCTCTGCATGTACAGCATGTTTTTAGGAAAAGTGAGAAGTGAGAGACTACTTCTGCCTAGGGATCAGGATGCTTTGAAAGAATTGACATTTGAGCTGGACCTTAAAACAGAGTGAGATCATTCAGGCAGAATACTCTCAGGCAGAACACCATGGATGAAAGGGACTACCAGGGTGACGTGTTGGCCCAAGGAGTGCTGACGGAGGGACCGGGCCAGTGGTTTGGGGCTGGGCCAGGTCAGAGAGGAGGACATCTCCACTGTGAAGTTTCTATGTAAAGAGATAGGTTCTCTCTGATCTTGGAGCCTCGTGCTCATCATATGTACATATAAGATTTGGTGAAACACATTTGGGAGAGTGGAGGAAAAGAGCTGACAATTTGGGGGACGCTGGTGATGAGAAGAGGGAGGCTCCAGAGAAGCATAAAGAGTTGGGCACTGTGGCTTCACGTGGCAAAGCTCCTCTTCCTGTCCCTGTACTGGCTCCTACCGCCTCAGGCCTCCCTAAAACTTTCTCCCCACCCCAATCAGGTGTGGACCCCCAACTCTACGTTACAATTACTATCTCCATCATCATTGTTCTTGTGGCCACTGGCATCATCTTCAAGTTCTGGTAAGCTAAGGGGAGGAGGATACTGGGGGCTGGGGGCTGAACATTGGCAGGGGAGGCTGGAAGCAGGGCGGAGTTGGGGCGGGGGCGAGGGCAGGACATAGTGGATGAAGATAAGATGTTGGAAAAGATAGTAGGGATTTGAGTGGGGGAAGACAGTGAGAAATCGGGCAGATTCCTTCTCGCAGGGAAATGTAAGGATAATGGGAGGAAAGGAGAATTATGTGCACTGGCGGCTTTGGCAGGCGTGCATCCCTTGTCCCCATTTCCTCCAAGACAGAAAACTGACCCGGTCTGCAGGGCCCCTTCTTAAAGCTGCCTGCAGGGAAGGGAGAAAAATCTGGAGCTTTCTTTGCACACATTTAATAATGGATCACTCAGTCCTTCACACATAACTGAGAGAATCATTAGACTCAGGTGTCCAGGTCATTAGCTGACTTTGAACTAAAACTAAACCTGGCAGGTGCCTGCTGAGGAGAGAAATGGCTTTTCTGAGCATGCATGGGGGAGGGGTGATTTGGGGGCACTATATGTGTTGGTGGGGAGCAGGCACTAATTCTGTGCATCTGGATCAGCTTGGGAGGATGTGTTAGATTCTCCAACCCCCCAGGGGCAGGGGAAGCGGTGTTATGGGCACATAGCCCCAGGAGATTTAGTATAGGGAATGTTAGTGGCTAGTCTCTCTGCTGTAGGATGTTGGGGGACCCTGGGGGTGACCAGCACCACATGCCAGAAGGGGGGGCTACTTGAATGTGTGAGAGAACCTCTTTCCTTTTGCTGCCCCAGCTGGGACCGCAGCCAGAAGCGGCGCAGGCCCTCGGGTCAGCAAGGTGCCCTGAGGCAGGAGGAGAGCCAGCAGCCACTGACAGACCTGTCCCCGGCCGGAGTCACTGTGCTGGGGGCCTTCGGGGACTCGCCTACCCCAACCCCTGACCATGAGGAGCCCCGAGGGGGACCCCGGCCTGGGATGCCCCAGCCCAAGGGGGCTCCAGCCTTCCAGTTGAACCGGTGAGGGCAGGGACAATGGGATGGGAGGATGAGGAGGGAAGGCAACAGGTCCCCAGAGCTGGGGTGGGTGCTCCCTGGGTGGGTGCTCCCTGGGTGGGTGGTGAGGAGGACAGCTCGGCCATCCCATAGCCCCCAGCTCTCCTTCTCAGCCTGGTCCCAGGCCCTCCCAAGAGGGCTGGACCAGCTCTTCTGGGAGTTCCTTCCTTCTCCCACTCTCTCAGGATCTCCGTCCTATTCTCTGCTGCCCTTTAAATACCAGCTTTGCCCTCCTAACTTCCATCCCCTCTTTGTCTTGGACTTCCCCCTGGATTCTAGCCTGCCCCTTGGTTCCTGACTGTGCCCTTTCCCTCTTCCTCTCAGGATTCCCCTGGTGAATCTGTGACGCCCCCCACTGTTGGGGTGCTGCCAAGCAGGAGGCCAAGGGGCTGGCATAGCCCCCATCCCGCTGAGGGTGGGGCAGCTGTGGGGAGCCGGGCGAGGGTGCTTCTTGCCCCTGCCCTTGCACACCACCCTGGAACACTCACTGGCCCCACAGGCAATCCTACCTGCTTGCCCTCCTGTAGGTGGGGGCCTCACATATTTGTGACTTCAGTCCCCCAGCCCCACCCTTGCACACTCACATGAAAGCCTTGCACACTCACCTCCATCCTCACAGGCCATTGCACACACTCATGCTCCAGGACGGCCGGTCTGTGCCCTCCCCACCTCCACATCTCTCTGCTCAGTGGCTCTCTCACCATGTCCCTCTTGTGTCATGTTTCGCCCTCCCTTCCCCATTCTGTGCTCAGCTCACTCACTCAGTGGTCAGTGTTCCTCCCGCACTTCACCTCTCACCTGCATTTCCTGGCCCAATGTCGTGGTGTTGTGTGGTGTGCTCACACTCCCTCATGAACACCCACTGGTCTAGTTTCCATGGCCCCTGCATGCTGCCCCCGAGGTGGGTGGGAGGTGAGCTGGGGGCTCTTCATGCCCTCGTCTGTCACGGCCCCATCCCATTCCACGTCACATCTCCCTGTCTCCCCCATCCCACTCCAAGGGCGCTGGCATCACCCTGAGGGCTCCTCCATGGGATCAGGGATGGTGAGGCCCCAAACTTCTCCCCAACCCCACTGTTAAACCCTGCTGTCTGAGAGATGGGTTTTGGGGAGTCGCCTGCTGCACTAAATGAGAAAGGGACTCCCACTTATCCTTTCCTTCTTCCTAAGTCCCCTTTGTTTTGTCTGTCCTACTGTCTGTGTGTGTCACTCTGGCATTCAGAGCCCCTGAGCCAGTCCTCCACTTCCAAGCCTCCCTTAAGGCCTCCCTAACTCCACCTAGGCTGCTAGGGACTGGAGCCAGCTGGTTCAAGGCCATTGGGAACTCTGCCTCCAAATCTACCTGTTCCCTTCCTGGGCTCCCTCATGTCCCTCCCTGCCTCCCTCCTTCCTCCTCTCCTCTCCCTCCTTTTGCCTCCTGCCCTTTCCTGCTCCTCAGGTTTCCCCTACTTCTCACCAGTTTCTCCACCTTCCTTCTTCCCCTCTTACCTGGCTCCTATGCTGTGATATATATTTTTGTATTATCTCTTTCTTCTTCTTGTGGTGATAATCTTGAATTCTTGTGGGATGTAAGTTTCAAAATTTTCAAATAAAGCCTTTGCAAGATACTTGAGTCCTTGGTTCTGCCTTGTGACCCCTGTAGAGAGGAGAGGGGGAGAGGATGGGCAGCCAGCAGGGAGGAAAAGAAGGATGAAGTGGGGAAGCCCTCCAGACCAGATGTCGCCTGGCCTGCCCTGATCTGGAGCTGGGGACTGACCAGGGCTTTGACTTGGTACAAAATGGAAGGGTGGGAAGAGGAAGAGAAACTGAAGGGAGCAGCTTGTGCAAGAGAGAGACTGGAACTGGAACCAGGGCTCACTTGTCCCTGAGAGACCGTGAGAAAGGAGACAGAAGAAAAGTGAAAATCACGTAGTAGGACAGGCAATGGAGCAAGCAGGAAACGGAAAAAGAGAGCTGATAAGGTAGATGGAGGGTGAAGGGAGAAAGGAATGAGGAAAATGGAGCAATGGAAAAGAGATGAGAAGGAGCCCCAGGAAAGAGGCTGCCCTGCTTGGTTTATTTTCAGCCTTGCTCCCTAACCTGCCCCCACCTACAGCTGCCCCCCAAAAGCTTTGCAGCACTAGAAGCCCTGTGGTTAACTCATTAGCTTTCCCCAGTCTGCCCTCTCTAAGAGAGGCATTGCAGGGCTGTGGGGGTGGAATCCAGGGGTGTGTTTAGGGGAGGGAATGCAGGCTGCCCAGCTGGGATCAGTCACCTCTGAGTCCCCAATTCTAGGTTTGGCTCCTGTGACAGCCCTGTGAAAGCCTACACATCAGCATCTCCGCTGTTGCTAGGCTCTGTTGCCACAGCAACCAGCCAGGTCCCGTCTCCCCCACCTCAATCTGCGCCCCACTTGCTCCCTGGAAATGGGGTAGCCTCAGGGAGGATGTGAGGCTGGCATAGTATGCAAGAGGGCGGCCTGGGCTGCCCTGGACTGTGTATCCCTCCATGTGTTTACCTTTGCAGCGAGGACTAGGAACATCTATGTGTCAGTAGGTATGTACTTATAGGTGTTGGGGAGCTTTACTGTGAGCTGAGGGAAGTGGAGCAGAGCCCATGCAGCACATAATGGTGAGTGTCAGGAGGAGGCAGCGTATTTCTCAGGCAGCAGTGTGTGCGTTCAGGGCGTCAGACTCCCTAAGAAAAGGACAGACTGCTACAGAGGAAAGCAGCAGAGTGGGGCCAAGGATTGATGAAGCAACTTAAAGCAGAGATGCGAGGGGAACTCTGAGGAGTCAACCCACTGGGGCATGAAGAGATCCCAGCAGGCAGCTGACCAGCTGATGGGAGAGGGGGCTGGGAGACCTGAGGGTGGGTACAGGAGGAGGGGCTGATGGATGCACTGGGGGCAGCGAGGAGGGAGGGAGAGGAAGCTTCATTAACCTTTCCTTTCTTTCCCTGCAGGACTCTAGTCCTTGTCAGGTGAGGGTGGGGAGAAAGATGCTCTGGCACAGAAGGGGCAGGAGCTCAGTGCTGGGGAGCACAATGGGCCCTCACCTTCAGCAAGGATTTCTCTTCAGAGGGACAGTGTGACCTGTGACTCATCCATATGCAAAAGGCACACATGAAGGTCCCTAATGAAGAGGGAATTAATTATTGCCTGATTAGATCGCTGTTTCTCTAAATTTAAATAAATTAAAATACACCAGCAAAACACTGGAAATTCTCACCCGTTCTCTCTCTCTAAATGCCCTCCTTCCCCCCTGGCAAGTCAGATGGCAGGGAAAGATGGAAGAGAAAGGAGACTGTCCTAGTCTTCTGAATTGTCCTAAAGGAATGATCCCAAACTAAACCATGGTTGTCATGCTAACCATGAAGAGTCATGAGGCCTTGGGAACAGACCCTAACTTTTCTCTCTCCTGTAGTTGAAACAAAGACCATGAGACCTTGGGAGGTCCTCAGAAGGCTACAGCAGAGTCACTAACCAAGAACAAAACAATAGCCATACTGCCCTTTTGGAAATTGGAAGGTTCTTGGAGGCCACACATCACAGGCACCACTGGAACCACCATCTCCCATCATCATGCTTTCTTTGCCTCCTGGGCTGTGCATCAAATGACTCAGCTAGGCTTCTCTTAGCGTTTTTCTGGAATGTTTACCATTGTGGCTCAGACCAAACCAGGGAATGGGGAAGCCCCCAGGAGGAGGGATCTCCCAGGCAGAGCTCAGGGTGTGGAAGTGATTCAAGATGGAAACAGTATGCCAGCTGGAGAACCCCAAGCTAAAATTAACAGCCCTCCTCCCCCTACGCCCCACATTTATTGCTCTAAAACCTTTTCTCTAAAGAGTTCAAAGCACTTAAAACTTACTTCTTATAGCAAGGGCAGCAATAGGGCTGACACTTGGAGACACTGAGGCCTGAGAAGTGGATATTTAGTGTAAATAGGAAAGAACAGGAGAAGTAGGACTTAGAGTGATTACTACTTTTTGCCTCAAAGTTTTCCATACCAGCCCCCAAACTTAGGTTTCTGGAAACAGTAATCTCTAACCCATGCAGCAATAGGTCTGGTCTCACCTGAGCCCTTAAGACCCTTACCCTGCCAACTCTTGCTACTCAGTCAACACAGACTGAGTGGGGAGTCCAACAATGTGATAAAGGGTATCTTTTCAAAAGACACTTTTTTCAAAAGTGTCTTTTGAAAAGATACAAACTACAATTACAAACAAAGATATACATCATCTATTTAAACATTATATTTAAACATAAATATTTAAATGTTTAAAAGTGTCCTTTGTCACTTCCTTGCTGGAACTCTGGGACCTTGGGGAAAAACATCACTTAAACCTGCTGAGTCTTACTTTCATTATCTATAAAATGGGCATTATAATTATTTGTTAGGGTTATTTTGTTTTCTCAGCAAGAGGCTATTACTGTTAATAGGAGGGACCTCAATTCTGCTCTAGCCAAAACAGAGCTGAGCCCAGAGGGATTGTGGCCAGGTCAGGGTGCAGGCTTGTTGCTTGCTTGTGACAGCATTCATTTACTAAAACAATACATATTTATTCAGCATCTACTATGTATTCAGCAAAGTATTAATAACATGTGTAGTTTCTTCCCTGAAGAGCTGACAATCTTGCTGCAGAATCACATGTATTAAATAGTTAAAATACCGATAAAAGATACAGATTAAATGCTGTGGGCATTCAGACAAAGGGACCATTTTAGGTTGGAACAATCAGGGAAGGCTTCCTGAAAGAGTTCATATTAGGTGTTCATAATCAACTGTAGTTCACTTATGCAACAAACGTTTACTGACCGCTTACTAAATGCCAGGACCTGAGGATACAGCAACAAACAATTCAAAGTTATTGCCCTCCTAGGGCTGATATTTTAGTGGGAAGAGGCGAACGGCAAACAATATATCAGGTAGTGATGAGTGCTACATTTAAAAGTAAAGCAAGTAAGAGGATAGAGATGTCGGTAAGGGCAACAAGACCAAAGCTAGAGTAAGGGGTGTGGTCAGAAAGGAGGATGGGTCGGATTTTGATGGCTGGAAGAGGTCCATCCTTATCCTTTTATGCATTTTCAAACCATTGGGAGATTCTTGACAGTGTAAGAAAAAATAACGGCCCACCTTCCTACATCAGCCTATTCCACCCAGAGAGAAGGGAACGAGACCCTGGTCTTTTAACCATCCACAACTCCCCTCGTACCGTAATGCATAATTCATGAACTTGTCGCGGTTCCACCCTCCCCCTCCCCAGAAGTCCCTTCCGGAAGCCGGGTGCTACACTTCTCAATGATCAGCTTTTGCCCTTAACAGAACCCGCCTTCACTTCCGCTATGGCGTCACATCCACAGAGGGTTTCACTATGTCCCAGCGCAGAAGCTACTTCCGCCCCTACTTGTCGTAACTTCTGCCCTGAATATGCTGGAGCGCTAGCAGCGCCGGAGGTGTTCTAGCTACTTCCGGAAGTGACTCGGCCTTTGCGCTCCCCTCTTTCTCCATTGCCGCCCCCCCACACTGCTATTTCCCTCCCTCCCCCCTTTTCGTTTCCGGCGCTCCCGCCTTCTCTCCGCAGAGCTCTCCTCTGAGCCTGTGGGGGGAGGGAGGGAGGGAGGGAGGGGGCGTGGAGGAATTGGGGTTCTCCGGAGCACGAGCTGCAGCACCACTTCCGGGTGAGTGTTAGGGGAGGGGAGGGAGAGGGAGGGGGCCACCCACTGCCTCGCGCCCCCGCCCTGCGGGTGTCGCGCGCGCATTCCGTGCGTGTGAGCGTGTGGGTTCGCCTCGCGCCCGAAGTGCGTGCCCGCGCGCTCCGCCTTGCGCTCTCCCCCCTCCCTCGTCCCCTCCTGGTCCTCCCACCCCACTCGGCTCCCTCCTTTCCCAGCAAACGCCGCCCCTCCCGCGCTCTGGCTCAGGCTCTGGCGCCGCCGCAGCCGTCGCCGCCGGGTGAGTCTCGCGCCGCTGCAGCCGGCGCGCGCCAAGCTCCCTGCTCCTCCCCTCTCCCCTTTTCCTTGGGGGGGGGCGGGGAGGGGGGGTCCGCGGTGTGACTGTGTGTGTGTCCGTCCCGGAACCGGAAGTGGTTGTGGAGGAGCGGGCGATGGGGAGGAATGGGGGGGTTTAGGGGGCGGGTGCCTGGCTGGTGGGTGGCAGAGTTCAGCTCCCTGGAGGGGAAGGAGGGACGTCCCAAGGAAGGGTCTTTGAGGAAGGAGTGGGGGGCGACATCAGGAGAAGGTTACCAGGGGCGGTCTCGGGAGCGAAGGTTTTGGGGGGACAACAGGGGTCTCCAATAGATAGACCACTGTGCAGGCTGAGGGAGGTACTTCTTGGCACAAGGCCTTAGGTAGGCAGGGGGTGAAGTCCTCTAAGAAGTAGGGGGGAGGCTAGAGGAAGTAGCCGGGCCTGAACTGGCACTGTGCCTGACACAATGGCTTGTGCATCCCCCTCAGCCCTCAGCTTTGCCTTCTGAAGCCACTCCTCAGGGGCAGAGACCCTCTTTCTCTTCCAACTCTTCTATTATCTGACCCCTGGTTACCTGTGGCCTGGGAAGGAAGAAGAACCAGTGTCTGAGCCTAAGAGTGGAACCCAAAGGCTGGTGATAGAGTTCATCTTAGTTTCTGGGAAGTGGATTTATTTCCCTTATATCCACATAGAGGGTGGCACTAGACTCCTGTTATTATATCCTTCCATCTTTGGATTGTTGGTTGGGGGTCTGCCTGCCTTCCAGAGTGACTGCTGACAGTCAAAGAATTCCTGAGGCTCTCCACAGCAGTCTGGTGGCTGCACCCTTACTGCTCCTGTAACCTAGACAATTTGTTTACAGAAAGTTCAGGAGCCCTGGAAAGGAGAAAGAATAAGACGACAGGAGGAAGAGAGAGAGAGGGTAAGACAATTTTGGGATAATGGCTTTTCTGGTTTTGGGGGAGAAGGGGTCACAATCAAATGGGTTTTCTTTGACATTGTGACAGTGTAGTGTACTTCAAGTAATAGCATTTGTAATATTGGTGTTTGCTGTGGGAGAAAAATGAGTATTTTCCTGTTATCTCTTGAGGGTACTCAGGAAGTTGATTTGTAAAAAGTTGGCACTGTACCCTGTCACCTTCAATTCCCACTAGCACTCATCAGGAATGACATGTGAAATGCTCCAGTGAAACCACTGAATAGTGTTGCATTGCATCCAAAAGAGAAATTTATTCTGCTTTGGGGACACATGGGCCCTAATTGCCAATATGGCTTTTATGGCATAGCTTATGGAATTGCTTTCCTGTATTTGGAACAAGCAGAGCTGAGTTTAGAGTGTTAGAGTGGGGTTCCTATCCTTAATGTTCCAGTGGAGTGTTTGATGAGAATCCCTGACACACAGTTATTTGAAATTGGTGTGGCAGAGTAAAGTTTTCAGGAGGAAAAAAAAATTGCTTCATGAGTAGTTTGGGTTAAAGTGGATAAAACTGTATGGAGTAGTTGCTGAAGTAGTTCTGGAAGAATTCACAATATAAGGCCTGATGGTGATAGAATTTTAAGTAGCCTGAAAATGAGAGTGTATGGACCCAAAACAGTTCAGAGCTCAGAGCTTATGATCCTTAGTGGTATCTTTTAAGGACCAATTCCAGGTTGGTTTATGGTATTTATTCCCCATAGGTTTCTAAGCCAAGTTGATGATTAAATATTAGGTACATGTTCCTTCTCCTCTAGCTTTATTTATTTAATTTTTTTTTTTTTGCCTCACTCTTTCCAAATCCATCATTTATAGTAGAACAGGCAGGGCAAGGAAGAACCACAACATTGTCTTTTCCACAGGGGACAATGGTCAAGTGATGTCCAAAGTAGAAGTTGCTGGCCCAGATTGCCAGCTGCGTGGTAGTAGTGGTCCTTTTGGTCTATTTGTTTAGAGTATGATGGTCTTTCTCAGTAGAATTGAGGTAAACCTGTTCTGAGTTATTTTGAACTTGGAAGAGTTCATGGATAGTAGTAGGAGGGCCTGAAATCCTATTGGGATGGCCCTTCTTGAATTTCTTCAGAACCTGAGAGAAAGAGATTTTGTTTCCTTATTGAGAAAAAAATGTTTCTTTGTGTTTCTTCATTTCAAGTCTTTAGCTAATGTTGCAAGCTTTCTGCACTTGTGCATTTTAGAACTGTTTCTCTCAGTAGAGTGTCTAAGTTCTTTCAGTAGTGGAAAGTTGATTGTTTTTTGCATATTTTTCTTGTTGATGCTTCTTGTAGATTACTAAGCTGAAGGCTATAGATCCATTACTTTTGGGTAGTCCCTTTGTAATTATGTGGTCTTAATGTAATTTTCACTAATTGTCACTAATAGTCCTCATCACAAGGAAGTATTTCTCTAGCTTTCTTCCTTTCAGAAAGACTTTGAGCATCTTATTCTTTCTCTTTTTTGTGCAGCCTCCATCACCATATGCCTTATGAACTTACCATAAAGGATTCATCCTCCTCCATCCTACATCCTAGTATTAATAGAAACCTAGTAGAGTAATTATTCAGAGTCTTCCACTGATGTAGGACCTAGAATTCGAATCCACAAGTCTTGATTACTAGGTCCATTCTCTACCTACTGAACTTGATGGGTATGAGTATGTCATGATTTTCTAAATGTTGGTTGTGTTAGGGAATGCTCTTTTCTTGGAGAAAGGAAATTATGCTTTACTTGAAAAACAACAGTAAAAATAATTAGTAAGTTCTGGTTAAAAGGTAGTGGTCTTCACCGTATCTGCCAAAACAACATGTTTGTTACAGGCCATGACACTTTTATCCTTGGCTGGTTAATACCATTATGGAAGCAAGTGGTCAGATGGACAAAGCTTTGGTGTAAGAGTTCAAGTCCTATGTGTTTCAAGGCTGTTATTTAATAGTGTCTCTCCTCTTCACCTCTTTGATGCTTCTGAGATTTCTTTTGAGACTAGAGAAGGAATATGTTGTTCCTTGAACCTCTTGAAAGAAAAATACTGTCCAACTTAATTATAGTAAACCTCTCTTATTAACACAATAGTTGAGACTTGCTACAGTAGTAAATTTGAAATTAGAACCCAGATTTTCAATTTGCCTACCTTCTCTCCATCTATTATGTTTTTTGTTTTCTGCTGTTTAGGGCTATAATAGAAGTCTTCCACTTCCCAGTCTAGGGGAAACCAACTTTTTTTTTCTTCTTCTTTTCTTTTAAATGTATTGTCATAATCATCAAAAAATTGGCACTCTCTATGTAGAGATGAGTTTTCCCTATAATAGTAATGGGCTTTTACGAGGTCAACAGAATGTTGATATGTGCTTCCTTGGATGTTGGGATGGTTTGGTGAAATTTCCTCCATGAAAGATGAAGTGGTGAACGGACAGTAAACAGGTATTTGAGTGATCTGGCACCAGGGCACCTTGTTACACAACTCCAGGGGGCGCCATTTACAAAGTCAGCGTCATTATTAGAACAGTGGCATAGCATTTCTCAGGTGTCATTTTGGAGGTAAATGTTGCCTTATAGCTGGATAAGCAGCACTCCCTATGTGCCCCCTTTTGGGCTGACCTATTTATCAGAAGCCTGTAAGACACATATATTGTCTTGACCCAGGACCAGCTGTGGTTCTGACCTTCATCTTCTCTTAAGAACCAAAGCGGGCCAGGTGCAGTGGCTCACGCCTATAATCCTAGCACTCTGGGAGGTCCAGGCGGGCGGATTGCTCAAGGTCAGGAGTTTGAAACCAGCCTGAGCAAGAGTGAGACCCTGTCTCTACTATAAGTAGAAAGAAATTAGTTGGCCAACTGATATATATAGAAAAATTAGCTGGGCATGGTGGCACATGCCTGTAGTCTCAGCTACTCCGGAGACTGAGGCAAGAGGATTGCTTGAGCCCAGGAGATTGAGTTTGCTGTGAGCTAGGCCGACGACAGGGCACTCACTCTAGCCTGGGCAACAAAGCGAGACTCTGTCTCAAAAAATAAAAAAGAACCAAAGCAGAGCAATAGACTGGGTATCCAGGTAAGTGGAGGGGGTTTTTATTTATTTTCCCTTGGAAATTCTGGCCTCTTTATTCAGACTCCATCATTCTAAAATCAGTTATCTTAGTAGCCACGTGAGGTTTCACAGGATGAGAACGGAATATGACCTGAACTGCATGTCATTTTGCTGTTTTCAAAAACTTCATATTGAAAACATTTATTGAGAACTACCTGAAAAATGTGTAGTTCGTTCCTGGAATTATTCTAAGTTTTAATTTCTAGATCAAGCCACAACATCAGAGAGTATGTACTTCAGTTTTGGTCCTTTGTAGATTCTCTTTTCTTAATTCGCTCTTTGGTGCCTGAGTTCAGGTCCCTGCTCCGCTATTTACTATTTGACTCTGTGCCTCCAATTTTCTCATTTGAAAATAGGGGTTATAGTGCCTATCATAGAATTGTTGCAGGGAGTAAGTGATATAAGAGTTGCAAAGTGCTTAGAACACTACCTTGAACATAGTCACACTAAATAAATGTTAACGGTGATGATGGTGATATTGTCTGTCACATTTTTTTTTTAAGACAAGGTCTCGCTCTGTTGCTCAGGCTAGAGTGCAATGATGTGATCATAGCTCACTGCAATCTCAAACTCCTGGGCTCAATCAATCCTCCCTCTGTCTTCTGAGTAGCTGGGACTACAAGCGCACACTACACATTTGCTAATTTTTCTATTTTTTTGTAGAGATGGGGTCTCACTATGTTGCTTAGGCTGGTCTTTAACTCGGCCTCAAATGATCCTTCTACCTTGGCCTCCCAAAGTGCTGGGATTATAGGCATGAGCCACTGCACCCAGCCCCATCACATCATTTTGTATGCCCTCTTTTTAAAAACTTACAGGAATACCTTCAGAAACTCTGCTTCACCTGAGCCACTTGTAGGACAATATGAATGGATGTAATCTTTTTGTGGGGAGGAAGGGACCTTTTTCACAGAAATCCTATATGAGAACATTCTAATTTTCAGACTCTCAGTTCCTCCCTTCTAAGTTTTCACATCTATAATGCATTTACTTCCTTAATTCTTTATGGGAAAATTATGTATTAGACCTTCCTTTCTTTTACTTTTCTGCCTAATATTCTACTTCATTCCCACTGTCCATCACCACTCTTATCTATTTCATTTCTCTCAGCTAGAAGTTTAGACAGATAAGGGTTGTGAGTTAAGGTTTGAGTCTCTAGTATGGTTTTCAAAATCTATATGTATAGAGTCCACTGTTGGTCAATTCATTAAATATGTAATTGCTTTTTGGGTGATGGGTCCTGTGTTAGTTTTAAGATAGAAATGAAGAAAATATGATCATTGCCTCCCCAAAAGCTTGGCAAGGTTGGATCCCCTTAAACTGTGATCTGATTGTTTCTTGATTCTGTTGCCTGAGGATGACACGAGACTACTTTATAAAGCTAGGACTGGAAGGACCAAGTTAGCACCTATGTCAGAGACTGATTAGTTTGATTATATTTTAGAACTCACAGAACAGAATTTGCCTGTGCTTGGTCCTCAGTCAGACACTGGTTATTTTGACTGTTTTATAACTCAGGGAACAGAATTTGCCTGTGCTTGATCCATGGTCATTTAATAGCCTTATTTGTGTGAAGCTGTTGTAAGTCACAGATTTGGTGCATTCTACTCTTTTGCTACTTATTGAGAAAAAGTAAGCTTAAATTTAGTTCTTCCGTTTATAGGTTTTATAAAAAATGGGAGTGATGTTTAGTAGAGCAAAAAGTGTAATTAATGAGCCTTCTAGAGAAGGATAAGGAACAGACGTTTAGAGCAATTTTCAATTTTGGCTCCTTTGTTGAAAGTCTTTCCTAATTTCCTTAGTTACTACCTGAAACCCAGTTTCTGTGCCCAGCCTACTGTCTAGCTTTTCCTATCTCTGGTAGCTGTCTCCAGCATATCCTCAGTGGGTCTCAGTTGGCTATGTGTCACAGGTCTTCCCCATCTGAAGCTTGATTGCTCTTGTCTCAGAGTAGCAGCATGGTAATAATGTTATTTCATGCTGTTCCTCATTTCTCCGTTGCAGCAGTCTCATACTTTCTCCTCACTTGCCTTCTGCAGGGCCAGATCTTTCCTGCTTTAGGATTTTGGGAAGCTACTCTTGACCAACATACTGCCAGTTAAACCTTGCTAAGAGAAGTGATCGGAGTGTGTCAGTCAGTGGTGGGATGCCTGCACTCTGTACCCATCTATGTCATGTCATGGCAACATGATTCTAAGAGATTACTTTTCTTCTTATTCATTCTTCACAAAGTTTTAAGTTTAATTATCCACATACAGAGAAGAACTGGAGCTCCTGGAAGCATAGTGTTTGAGGAATACAAAGCAAGAGTCTAGTACTCCGTACGTGTTCTGGTCCGTCATTGTCCCTATTCTGAATCCCTTTGGAAATCTAGCCTACAACTGGAGGTACCAGAACTCTTTTTTCATTTGTTTATTGAAACACAATCTTGCTCTGTCGCCTGAGCTGGAGTGCAGTGGTGTCATCACAGCTCACTGCAGCTTCAAACTCCTGGGCTCTAGTGATCCTACTACCTCAACCTCCAGAGTAGCTGGGGCTACAGGTGTGAGCCATGATGCCTGGCTTATTTTTCTATTTTTTGTTAGAGATGGGGTCTCACTCTTGCTCAGGCTGGTCTCCAACTCCTGGCCTCAAGTGATCTGTCCACCTCAGCCTTCCAAAGTGCTAGGATTACAGATGTGACAGAACTCTTTTTCAAACTGGCAATTCCTTGGTTCTCACTGCTCAGCCCAGTGTGTGTGGTACCCCCCATTCAGCACCATGGATGTTCTTAGACCTTGATGGGATCAGTGGGGCATGGTCCCCAGATATTAGCTGGTACTCAAAAAAAAAAAAAAATCTTGATTTTGATTCCTGCTGATTTCATTTTTTAAATTACTTTGGGTGTTTTGTATTCTGGCCTAGAACCATTTCAAGCTGCATGGAACTGTAGACATGTTGATCGGAACTCTTGAAATTTTTTCAAGGAAGATGAATTTGAAGGATGAGGGAAAAGAGGAGCAGTGATAAGTACCCTAGCTATTTTCAAGCCTGTCAGTGATGTGCTTTGTGTGACCTTGGACACACGCCTTCCCCTCTCATGACCTCAGTTTCTCTTCTTGTCAGTAAAGGAAAGTAATACCAATTCTTTTTCATTGTGGCATGGAAAACATCCTGTGGGTAAATGCGGTACGTATAAGTTCTTTCACAAGCATTGAGTAGGCTAGCCTGTGTTGACTAGGCTACATGGCTAGGGCTACAGGGCTATATGGCTTTGACCAAGGGGGCTAATGTGCTTTACACTAAGGTCTCACCTGCCAGTTCCCAGCCATGTGACCAGGTGCCAAAGAGGAGACAAGGAAGAACTCAACTCGCCTTCTCCATTGCTAAGCTTTTTCAGATCTGTTCCTGAGCGTGATGTGATTTCATTCTTTCTTCAGGTAGAATGGAAGAATCTCACTTCAATTCTAACCCGTACTTCTGGCCTTCTATCCCCACAGTCTCAGGACAAGTAAGTGGTGTTGCTTTTCTGCTGTCCCTCGTTTAATTTTCTCAACTCCAAGTAATAAGTGCTATTACTGAGTAGTAAGTTCTATTACTGTGGAGAGTGAAGCAAGAGAAACCACGTGGTGTTTCACTGGGTCCCTTATCACTGAGAATTATATAGTGTTTCTGTCTTGGCTTCTCTCTGAAAACCCAGAGTTGATCTCCATAGAGAAAGATACTGAAAATTGCTTAGGAACTGAAAAAATTAGATTCTCTCAGTCTGAAGAGGGCATTCCACTTCTGTTTCCTTTTGTTTTAGATTGAGAATACAATGTTCATCAACAAGATGAAGGATCAGCTGTTGCCAGAGAAGGGCTGTGGGCTGGCGCCACCTCACTACCCCACCTTGCTGACAGTGCCTGCCTCAGTGTCCCTGCCCTCAGGCATCAGTATGGACACAGAGTCCAAATCAGACCAGCTGACCCCACACAGCCAGGCTTCCGTCACCCAGAATATCACAGTGGTCCCTGTGCCATCTACAGGACTGATGACTGCTGGTGAGCAACTCTGCACTTCTCCAATCTGAGGTGTTGATCTTCCATGATCAGTACCCCAGGCTGGAGGGCTCCAAGAACATGGGGAGTGGGATATGTCTTTGATTACTCAATCAGATTTTTATTAAGTGCTTACTGTGTGCCTAGCAATGTGCTAGGCATTGTGGGGGATACAAAGAAGTAGAAGATGCGGTCCCTGCCTTTGAGGAGGTGACATTCTTTCCTTCTCTGAATCAAGGAGTCTCCTGTTCTCAGAGGTGGAGAAGAGAAGGGAGTCAATCAAGGGGTAAATCTCACTGTTACCAGGGGGGTGGGGACAAGGGTTAGGAGACCATTATTTTTTTTTACAGGGTTTGGGGTTTCCTGTATACTCTGGGTTGGGGGGTGGTGGTGAGGGGTTAATTAGATGATCTGGGGGCGCGGAATGAAATGAAATAGGATTAAGATCAGGACTGAACAACATGACACCATCTCCTTTTTCTCCCAATCCTAGGTCCAGGTTTGGTAATCACGTCCCCCTCAGGCTCTCTTGTGACCACAGCCTCATCAGCTCAGACCTTCCCCATTTCGGCTCCCATGATTGTCTCAGCTCTTCCCCCTGGCTCACAAGCCCTGCAGGTGGTCCCCGACCTCTCTAAGAAGGTAGCATCGACCCTAACAGAGGAAGGAGGCGGAGGTGGTGGTGGAGGTGGCAGTGTGGCTCCTAAACCCCCGCGGGGTCGAAAGAAGAAGCGGATGCTGGAGTCAGGGCTGCCTGAGATGAATGACCCTTATGTCCTCTCCCCTGAGGATGACGATGACCATCAAAAAGACAGCAAGACCTACAGGTAAGACTCAGAGCCAGGGGCAGGATGGGGTGAGGATCGCTTTCTCAGCTCCCCTGCCCTCTTGGTATCCTGCCCCGGTCAGGCGCTATACTCTTGACAGCTTCCCACCTCAGAGGCGCTTGCATGTCAGGTGAGCTGTCGTGGGGCAGCAAGGCGGCGCCGCTGGCACTCCTCCAGTGCCTCTTCCCTCGGGATGCAGACCCACTGCACCCCTTCCTTTTTTTTAATGCTCATTTTGGGGGTCATCAGCATTGACTTATTTTTGCATGACAGAGTAGAGTTTTTCTCTTGTAATAAGGCTTTGGATTGGGTTTGAGACTCTGTCTGCAGCTCCTTTTTACTTTCTACATTATCCATTCCTATTTTTCCAAGAAACCTTTCTGGTAAACACCTAACCTAACCTGTGTGCCACGCACCAGTTCTTGGGCCATATATGAGCACTGAGCCTGCCTGACCCTGCATGGTTGGGATGATGGGAGGGGCCTACATAAGAAGGTGGGAGGAATAGGATACCTCCCCCTTTGGAATATATGCTTACAGAATGACTGCTCACTTTTTAATTCATGAAAGTCATTTTGATCCTCCAGTTCCTCTAAGTTGCCCATTGCCAAAAAGCATTATGTGCATATTTGCATGTGATACTATACAAAAATAATTAACATAAACTTATTGCCCTTTGAGAGTTGAACATCTTTTAATCCCTTTGAAAGCTGTCAAGTGCCCTAGTGGGTTTGGGAGTTTGGTCCCAGTATACAGAATGGGATAACCACTTACAGCATTGATGCAGACAGGGGCAGATGTGCATGGCTGGGATTCTGGGTCTGTCCTTAGTGTACCGAGATGGGCAATGTTGTTCCCATTTTAGGAGCGAAGGGAACTGCGGCACAGGAAATGGACAGAGCCTTGGGCTCATGGATTCAGTTCCCGGCTCCACCACGAACTTGCTGTGTGACCCTGGGCAAGTCCTTTTCCCCTCTCTGGGCCTCAGTTTCCTCATCTGTAAAATGGGGAGAATTCTGTTTATGCCTCCCATTTGTTGGGAGTATATATCAGATAAGATTTGAAATGTTGAGAACTTGAAAAGAAAGATAAAAAATAGTCATGATTTAGCATTTATTTGTATTTGTGTTGTACAGTTCTGTTGGGGAGAGTAGCCATAAGTGTTTAGATCCTTCTTTAGAAGTGAAAATGAGGAAAGTGTTGCTATGCAGAAAGTATTGAGCACTGCAGAATTCCAGCTCATAATCTGAAAGTTCACTGGAGCTTTATTATTACAGGTGTATCCCACTTTATACAATAAAAGTGTTCCTGGAAAATGTTTACATCATATCATATTATAAAGGTATCTGACAAGTTTGATTCATTTAAAGACATTCTTTTATATGTCATTTCATAAAATGAAAATCCCTTTAAAGTTGATTTTGTGGAAATCTGGATTTTTATGTTTGTTTAAAGTGAAATCATTGTGACATGGAGATACATCTATATAAAATTTGTTACTCTAGTAGTAAGAGTATCCTCCGTCACCCCATGGAGCCCTTCCGGTGGGTCAGGGTCCTCTCATTCTGCCAAGTTTCTGTACTTGTTTGTGTTTTGGACCCACATTAAAGCTTATCTGTGGACTTCCCAAACTGTGTATCTTAAAAGAAATGTGAATATACATTTGGAAGAAAGTTCGGTAGGACTTAGCACACCCTCAGTGTTTTGGAATTCTTGAAAGACCCTTTACCCAGGTAACTGAAGAGAACTCTGAAATTTAAGGGTGACTAGTTGTATTCTAGGTGAACAGAATTTCTTCAGAAACTCAGAACTCTGAAGTTCGAAAATAATCTTTTTAATCACAGTGAATCCCTATTTTGATGCGTGTGGGGTCAACAGTATCCATTACAGTGGGCAATAGAATTTGAACTGGGTATTGGGGGAATTAGATTCTGTTACTCTGGGCAAATCAACTTATCTCTTAACTGTTGGTTCTCATCTATAAAATGGGATGACCAGTCATACCCTCACCTATCCTGTGGAAATGTTTTAGGAAAAATCAGAGTATTTGAAATTGTTTTCAAGATCTTAGGGAAAAAAATGGGTCAATAATTCAAAGTGGTCATTGTAATTGAGGCTATTGCACTGCACGCTTCCAAGGGGTACCATTCTCATTGTGTTGGATGTGAGTGGTGCCCCCTGGAGTAATGCACCTGTAATATGGGTGTTGACTTTTCTATCCCCTACTAACTGCCCACTGCCACAATTCCCTTAAATTAAATTTATTTCCAACCACTCAACATGTTGCATTAGAGGACTTTTACTCTTATTTGGCTTCATAGGATTTTCAAGTTGGAAGTACTTTAATGGTCACCTAGGTCAGTCCCTTCACCTGGCAGGTGATTGTCCATCCTCTGCTTGAATACCTCCAGTGTCAGGAATTTTAAAGTAGGTTAGCACATGGGTTTATAGTGAGTAACTGCCCCTTGGCGAATTACTGTCTGAGCCTTTGTGTTCCTTTCTATAAAACAGGGGTAATACTTGCCAGGTTGTTGCAAGAAGTAGAAAAAATGTGTTTAAAGTGCCTAACTAAGAGCCTGGCACTGTCAGGCACAATAACAAATGGCAACTGTTATTATTATTATACTATCTTTTTCTGTGTGTTAGAGTCTTGCTATATTGCCCAAGCTGGTCTCTAACTCCTAGCCTATGTTGCCCAGGCTGATCTGTAACTCCTGGCCTCAAGTGATCCTCCAGCCTTGGTTTCCCAAAGTACTGGGATTATAGGCATAGGCCACTGTACCTGGCCTATCATTATTATACTGTCTTTTGAGACAGCTCATTCTATTGCCAGCCCATTATCAATGGATTTAAATTTTGTATATTCTTATCTAATTGGAAACATTGATGAAGAGGGTTATTTTCCTTTTTTATAATTAACTTTCATGTTAAGGGCACAGTTATGTGTTTAACACTCTAACACACAAACTGAGATTTTATTTGTGTTAAAATAAACATGTTGTTCAACCAATCTGAGAAATTTTAGCAATCAAAAGAGATTAGTTTGCAACTTAATACAGTTTTTCTTTAGAGTGACAATGTGTCCAGTTTGTAACTTCAGTCTTAGTGAAACATTTAGTAGCATGAGCCTCATCCATTAGCACTGAGGCTGTTAACATTAATACAGTTTTACTACTAGTGAACACTTGGCTTACCTTTGACTGGCCTGGGTGTTTGCTGGCCTTTCTAGGGGCAAAAATTAATCTCTCCATTTTACAGACCAGAAAATTGAGGTCTAGATTAATGAGCAAGCCTATAATCAAACTCTGAGTAGAGCCCGGTGTCCAGACTCCATTGGCTATGTCCTTTTGATTATGCTAACTATAAACAGAACTTCCCTTCTCTTGTGCAGTGATTAGGTGTCTCAGACAACATCCAGGGATGGATAACTTCGGAGTTACCAAGTGACTAGAGAAATGGAAATTGTTAATGATTGGAATTTTAGTAAAAGCATTAATATAGGGACCACACCCCAACTAACAATGATATTGTTCTCTCAGGAACTCAGTGTTCTTTTTAGTCTTTATCTCAAGTTATTCTCTAAAAAATTCTCCCAAGATGAAAAAAGTGCAGAAACAATCACCCCACATCATCCTAAGCCCCTCTTACAAAGATAAGTTAGGGAGAACCCAAAGAAGAGGGACTTGCCCTAGTAGCCTGCCTTCCAGCCCATTGCCCTTCCTACTGGCTCACATTGTGCACTGGTGAGTTGTTTATGAAAATGGCAGGGTTCCAGCTTAGATACAGGTAGCTTTTACCCAATAAAGTCTGAATAGCTGTGGCTTAACTTGCACAGAGGCTTCCTTCTTTGATATGTAGAACAGTGTCAGAGCGGGAAGGATTTCCATTACCAACTCAGGTGATGAAAGTACGTTCAAATGCTATCGATGTCAACCCAGAATGCTGACATTGGCTCCATGTGCTAGGAGAGTGGAAAGGTGTTTTGCAAACCTTTTTCTCTAAAATACTTGAGGGATACTACCCACTGCCAACAGTTACCTTGGCTCATTGCAAAAGTGGTTCTCACTTGATTGCTAAGGAGTCAGGGGTGGGGTGTGGAGGCCAGACATTATGGTTTGGAAAAGCCCCTCCAAATAATTCTGGTACTTCCCCACACCCATCCCTCTGGGAATCACTGCCAAAAAGGAAGTAGGGGTTGGTCCCATGGTGGTGGGTTATCAGAACTTATTAACATTAGTCTCACTAAAGCTAATGTATAACCCCCAACTGCTAAGTTTGACTGGCTAATAAAAAACAAAAACAAAAAGGTAGTAGGGGAAAATCTGAGGAAGAAAATTATCTGTGGAGACAGGAGAGAAACTAGTCAGTTCCTCACTGTCAGTGAAGGTTCATCTGTATTTACAGCTGCTCTCCATTGCTTCCATCACTGCCTGGGCTCCACCTCCTGCCCCTACCCCCCAGCGGTCCATGGAAAAATTGTCTTCCTGTCCCTGGTGCCAAAAAGGTTGGGGACCACTGATCTTTGGGGCTTGAGACATGCCAAGGGATGTACTTTATATGTGGGAAAATTAGGGAAAGGAGTTCTTTGACAGTTTGAAATGAAGTCAGAGGCAGAAGGAAAACAGAAGTTAACTGATAATTCCTGGACTAGTGAAAATCACATCTGCCCAGAGCCCACAAAATTTTTCTTCCTTACTTGGTTGAATTCCTGTGTTTGTACACTTAGGGAGTCTAGTCACTCAGCAAACATTTATTGAATATTTATAATGTGCTAGGCATTGTGGCAGAAGTTTAGGCTATAAAGATGAATAAAATAGAGCTCCTACTCTCAAGTTGGAATAGGAGAGAGATCAGATGGGTGGGCTTCTCTTAGAAGTACAGGAGCGTGTTCAGCCATGCCTTCTTGGTGGGAAGGGTTCTAACCGCTGCCCTCACTTGGCCCAGGTGCCGGATGTGCTCACTGACATTCTACTCAAAGTCGGAGATGCAGATCCACTCCAAGTCACACACGGAGACCAAGCCCCACAAGTGCCCACATTGTTCCAAGACCTTCGCCAACAGCTCCTACCTGGCCCAGCACATCCGTATACACTCAGGGGCCAAGCCCTACAGTTGTAACTTCTGTGAGAAATCCTTCCGCCAGCTCTCCCACCTTCAGCAGCACACCCGGTAAGGCTGCTCTCAGTTTCACCCCACTACCTGGCCGTGAACCCCAAGGCCACGTTGCTTGCACCTACTCTTCTCTCCACATGTATTGTTTTTTCCCTTTCACCTTTGTCCTTTGATAGCCTCAATTCTCTGCTATTATTGTATGTGGAAATTAATTGTATATCCTAGCAATTTGGGAGGGCCACAAAAACTGTGGTCTTCAATCCCAAAGTCTGGAACAATTCTTGTGGTTTCTCTCTGTGTCTGTGTTTGGAAATCTTCTGCAGAGCAGGCCCTGCTTTTACTATATGCTTCAGTTCAGATCCAAGGTGTGCTTTCAACTTCAGGTCCATGGGGAACAGGCGATATTGGTCTTTGTTCAAATTACTATTTGGAAGCAGGGTATCTGTGGTGAGTGCATAACCTTAGGAAAAAGCAGAGGGTTGACGAGACTGACTCAGGTCACCAGGAGCCATGGGTTGCAGCTCTTCATCATCTCACTGCCATTCTAGCCACCGACTTACGATCAACAACAACCTAGATCTGGGTATCCTCTTCATTAGCCTATCCAGGCTGGAGTGTGTTTGGGAGGAGGGAGGAGGGGGTGCTCTCTCATCCGTCAAGCAACATCATTTCACCCAGCAGAGAGCTGAGCCCCTGGTGTCGAACTGCTCCCTCCTCCCCCCTTCCCTCCTCTCCTCTCCGGCAGGATTCACTCCAAGATGCACACGGAGACCATCAAGCCCCACAAGTGCCCGCACTGCTCCAAGACCTTCGCCAACACCTCCTACCTGGCCCAGCACCTCCGTATCCACTCGGGGGCCAAGCCCTACAACTGTTCCTACTGCCAGAAGGCCTTCCGCCAGCTCTCCCACCTCCAGCAGCACACACGGTAAGGGAGAGTGGCGGGCTACTGACCCCGCCCCGCTGGCATGCCCTCCCCACCCCCGCCCCGGACACACAAAACAACCCGCATGCGGGGGGCGGGGGAGAGACGTGGCTGGAGGAGAACATGGCTGGCGTCTGAGAGAAAGAAGACCAAGCAACAACATTGGAGACACAAGTGGATGCTAAGAAAGCCTTTCTGAGGCAAGAGCTACATCAGGGAGATAAAATGACTGTGACATCCCCTGATCCATGGGAGGCAGAGATGTACTTGGAGTAGAGACAACTTTTCTTTCCCTCATTTCCCTCCCTGAAGATACCCATGCAAACATCTTGCAAGATTTTCTCCTTGATGCCAAAGCAGAGGCATTTTATAAGAGAAGACCATACCTCTAGCTCTTAGCTCACCAATTACAAACAAGAGATATAATCAGACATTAGCTGGGCACCAGCCTGATGACACCCACTGCAACAAGCAACGCCTGCACCCACTGCAACAAGCAACACCAAGAGATGCCAGGAATGGAGAACAAAACAAAACATACTAAATATTCTCAGAGAACTAGCAAACAAAATGAAATGCTCATACTTCATAAGGATGCTCACCATTCATCCTGTGAATCTGGAGTGACTGGGAGGAAGTGAACCTGCCAACTATAAGAGTGATCATCTCCGTCATGTGGTATCTGAAGTCGGACTAGAGTTCAGACATGCTGGCATAGGCCATCTCACACAGCTTCTTGTGGATGTAATGTTCCCACCATAAAGTGATTAGACATCTTGCTTTGAGAAGAGGCTTTCTTCACAAAGAAGAGACATGTCCTGTGATGTTTTCAGCATTTTATACCAGGGATCCAGAAAACCACCTAGTCACAGAGATGGTTCTGAACTCTGATGAGGAGCAGGTGTCAGTGCACCCTGAAGTCCTTGTCCCATCTTAGCAGAGGGCCCTGTAGTATTGCAGGAAGAGTTCAAATTGGTACTAGGCATTTCTTGCTATTAGGGGACTGGACTGGAAAAAGCCCCTAGGAGTTTCTGTGCATTTCCATTAATATCACTGCTACTCCTCACAATTAGTGTGACTCTGCTTTTGTGTAATACTGTAACTTAATCTGGAGGTGATACACAAGGCTGAGGGATAGTTTCTGGCTGTAGGGTGAGGCCAAGAAGGAAGTATGTTTTTCGTTTTCTTTGCCATTGTGTCTACTTTATACTTTTGAATGTTGATAGGATAATTACTGTAGGAGCTAGCTTGTATGCTAAATTGTGAACTGCTTGTCCCTTGGGTGCTGAGTCCTCAGTCCTTCTTCCCCAGCAGAGAGGAGGCTTAGCTTGAGCTGAGTGATGCACGCGGTGACCAGATATAAGGCAAATACAACCTGAGCCATGTCAGAGAGGAACCAAGGCTGGTGGCTCCTGGAGGCCCATCTGATGTGCTTGCTTAGGAGGGCAGGATTGGCCTTGAAGTTTGTTAAGGAGCCAATCCCCAAGTGGCCTTGCTGATATCCTTTCCCTTTCTTCTCTTCTAATCCCATGCAGAATCCACACTGGTGATAGACCATACAAATGTGCACACCCAGGCTGTGAGAAAGCCTTCACCCAACTCTCCAATCTCCAGGTAAATGTTCCACCCTCTCCATAAGAGTTTGAGTCTGAGACTTGATCAAGGTGCCATTTGAGTAGTATAGTGATTCTCAGACTTTTTCAGGACGACTCTACACTCTTAAAAATGATTAAGGGGCCTGGCATGGTGGCTCACCTCTGTAATCCTAGCACTTTGGGAGGTTGAGGCAGAAATTCTTGCCTGAGGCTTGCTTGAGTTCAGGAATTCAAGACCAGCCTGAGCAAAAGCGAGATACCATCTCTACAAAAATAGAAAAATTAATTGCACGTGGTGGCACATGCCTATAGTCCCAGCTACACAGGAAGCTGAGGCAGGAGAATCACTTGAGTCCAGGAGTTTGAGGTTGCAAGTGAGCTATGGTGATGATGCCACTGCATTATATGGGTAATACCTATCTACATAGATATTGTAGAACTGAGAAACTGAAAAATATTTAGTAATCTGTTTAGAAACAACAATAAGAAACCCATTGCATGTTAACATAAGTTACATATTGTAAAACTCTCCGGAAAAAACTTAATGAGAAGAGTGTCATTGTATTACATTTTTGCAAGCATCTTTACTGTCTGGCTTAACAGAAAAAGAGTAGATTCTCATTGCTGCGTATGGTTTATTGCATTATCATATATCATGTGCAGTCATGAGAGGATGAGAGTGAAAAAAGCAAACACTGTCTTTTTTTGTATGTTATATGTATTATATATTCTTACAGTAAGGTAGAGAAAAGAAAATGTAATTAAGAAATTCATGGCTGGGCGCAGTGGCTCATGCCTATAATCCTAGCACTCTGGGAGGCCAAGGCCGGCGGATTGTTTTAAGTCAGGAGTTCAAGACCAGCCTGAGCAAGAGCGAGACCCTGTCTCTCCTAAAAAAATAGAAAGAAATTAGTTGGACAACTAAAAATATATAGAAAAAAGCAGAGCATTTCTCAGCTTTGTGTTTTGCTCTAGAGATGCGGTGCGGGAGATTGCTATGGTTGGAAATTTTTATCTTGGAATGATATGATCAGGTGTCTGGAGCATGGGGTTCATTGGGCCTAGGATTTGTGGGTGATTTCTGGGCGATGTGACTTTATGTTTGTGGCTCTCTGAAGTGTTTTCCCGTGTACTTGTGTAATTGGTCGACATTGTTTGAAGTTGGGTTCCGTGGATGAATGTCTGAGGGTATGTAAGAAAGGTTTTGTTGGGCGGGGGCAGCAGATCGAGCGCTCGCTGTTGGTGTAGACGAGGGAGGGGCTGCGCGATGGTGTTGTAGGGCTGTGTCTTGAAGGGCTAGTATGCATAGCCGGGAAGATATTTCTGGCCCCTATTCTACAGGGTCTCCAGCCCCAGAGTAGATTATTTTCCCAAAGTCGTGAAGAATCGTATCACCCACTGCCATTTAGCGAGCAGGCAAAGACCTCTTTGATCTCCTCCACTCAATTCTTCCTCAGAAGTGGCTTCTCATGGGGTGGGGTGTGGTGGTGGGAGTGACCACTGTCACATGATGAGACTGGAACGCTCTCTCTTATGGAGTAAAGATTCAGATCCCACCAAATGAAAATTTAGTGTTATGTTTATGCCATTTGGGTAATCCACCTTTCACAAAGCCTATTGCCCTGTGCACTTCTATTTTTCTTAGAGTCTGGAGTCATTTATTCAAGACATTTTTATTGAGGTCCTGGTATGGTCAGACATAAGAGCAGGACTAGGGATGATAAACAATGAGTAAGACAGAGTGCCCATGCCTCAAGATGCTTACAATCTAATAGGAAACAGATTCTGCAATAAAACAGTGTGACAAGTGAAATAATGTATATATGTTAAAAGGACAGTTGGGAACACTGGAGAAAGAGGACAATTACCTAGAGATGTAGGTAAAGCTCTAAAGAGAAGGTGATGTTTTAGTGTTTTCTTAAAGGTTATTCCTTTGCCAGTGAGAAGAGAGGAAGGGAATTCCACATTGGGAAAGCATCAGCAAATTACTGTGATGGTTTTATGGCAAGGTCAAGGAAAAGTGAGGTCACAGTGTTTGATCTCTAAGGTGAGAAATTGGGAAGTGAGACTGGAGAGAGAGGCTAAGGCTACATTAGACAAGTTTTTTTAAGCCAAGCTAGGAAGTTTGCATTTTTTTTTTTAAGACACAGGGTCTCACTCTTTCCTGGGCTAGAATGTAGTTGTGTCATCATAGTTGACTGTAGCCTTGAACTCTTGTCTCAAGCAGTCCTCCCTCCTCACCCTCCAAGTAGCTAGGACTACAGGTGTGCACTACCATTCCCTGCTAATTTTTATAAATTATTTTTGTAGAGATGTCTCGCTGTTTTCCCCAGGCTGGTCTGGAATTCCTGCCTGAAGCAGTCCTCTAACCTCAGCTTCCCAGGCCTGAGCCATGTGCCTGGCCAAATGTGACCTTTATAAATGAAAATAACTGATGTATGTATTGGTAAATTGGAGCATGATAACTTGGATAACAGGGAGATCAGTTAGTGATGACAGTCCAGGTCAGAGACGAGAACCTGATCTTAGAGAGTGACAGAAGTATTCAGGAGTTAAATGTGGTAGGACTGACTGAATGACTAAGTGGTTGAGAGAGAATGAAGACTCTAAGCTGGATTCTTCCTTCTTGGAAAGCGGTATAGGCAATATACCATTGATAAGAGAAATTCAGGAATAATAGCAACATATTTAATTCAGTTTAAACTTAATCATAGGAATGATAATTGTACCCAAAAAGTGAATGAGATTGTTCAGGGAAAACCAGTAAAGTGAGAAACTCAAGGGACTACAATGTAATCTCAAGAAAACATGAACATTTAGGGACAGGCCAGGTGCAGTGGCTCACAGCTGTTGTCCATCTACTTACTTGGAGGTTGAGGCAGGAAGATTGCTGGAGCCAAGAGTTAGAGACTGGCCTGGGCAACATTGCAAGACCTCATCTCTTAAAAAAAATTAAGTGAGCAGGCTAAGAAAATGTCAATGTTGTAGTTACCAGAAGGTATATGATGAGATTTGAATCCTAAAAGGAAGAAAGTTACTCAAAGAAGAGAAGATGGTGCGGGCGGGATGGCTCACGCATGTAATCCTAGCACTCTGGGAGGCCGAGGCGGGCGGATTGCTCGAGGTCAGGAGTTCAAAACCAGCCTGAGCAAGACCCCGTTCTACAAAAATAGAAGAAATTAATTGGACAACTAAAAAATATATATAAAAAATTAGCCAGGCATGGTGTCACATGCCTGTAGTCCCAGCTACTTGGGAGGCTGAGACAGGAGGATCGCCTGAGCCAGGAGTTTGAGGTTGCTGTGAGCTAGGCTGATGCCATGGCACTACACTCTAGCCTGGGCAACAAAGTGAGACTCTGTCTTAAAAAAAAAAAAAAAAAAAAGAAGAGAAGATGGTGCCAGCTGCTTCAGAGATTTTTTTTAGGATAGAACTAAAACATCATTTGATTTGGTAAGTCATTGGTGTCTTAATCTCAGCAAACTGGTGGTAGCAGACCTGAGGTTGTAGGTTAAAGGTATAGGCATTTTAAAAGTTTGAGGTGGAGTTTGGGAAAAGAGTTTTCTTATATTGGGGGACAATATTCATGCAATG